TAGCCCACCTGTTATCAACATAGGAACAGATTTGCTTTTAAGAGATGTGTACTGTTCTTGTTCTGTGTAGTATTAACAGCTTACTTCCAGAGGGGCAACAGATGAGTTGTTAAGGGATTTGGGATTGGAATTTGTGTTCTTCTGATCATTACAAAATCATTTGCAGGTGTCTCTGAAGAGGAAAAGGCAGCTGAACTGCAGAAAACAAAGACTACGTCACTTGTAAACAGGCTGACAGTGGATATTGTAGAAATGGAAGCTCTCCGAAAGTCTGTAGAGGATTTCTTCTGCTTTTGTTATGGTAAGCGCTTAAACTAATTTTAAAAAATCTGAAATAACACTCTTCCTGGGATAGCTAAGCCATCATTAAAGTAGGATGGAGAGTGGCTTATAGTTTCTGCCTTCAGTCTAGAGTACTGCTGAGGTAATGAGCTTAATTTTTCAGTAGTTCTAAAGTGTATTTAAACTCCAAAGAGTTTGCTGTCTTATACATGTTTCACTGCACATGAACTTTCTGAATGTTCCATGGAGCAGCTTTCTTTTAAGCAAGAACGAAATATGTAACCTAATGGTAATTCTCTGCACTGTCAACTGTGCAACTTGTGCTTAATTCCTGAATTTCTGATCCATGTCTGAGTCTGTCTTACCCTGCCCCCAAAGCAATCAAGGTCTTGGAGTGTTGTAGTGGAAGCATGTTCCTCTCCAGAGGAAGAGGAAGTATTACAGTTTCTATCTTTTAACTAAGGAGACATTGCATCATGTTACTCAATGAAGATCTTCTTTGGTCAATTAGAAAGTGGCTTTGAAGGAAGCCTCATGCTGCAATCCCCCTTGAGAAGAATGGTAACAGAAATAGCAGACCATAGGGGGGGAATGTACAACAGGGAAGAACATGGTTCAGAGACATGGGGAGAAACTTAGGACTTGGAAGAAGGAAGGAAAAAATATGAAAGCCTAGCTTGTTGTATTCAATCTTACGTATTTTTTGTTTCCCAACAATTTATTTTATTTTACAGGTAAAGCTTTAGGGAAGTCAACGGTAGTCCCTGTGCCATATGACAAGATTCAAAGGGACCAGTCTGCAGTGGTAGTGCAGGGCCTTCCTGAAGGACTTGCATTTAAACATCCAGCAAATTATGATGTGACAACACTGAAATGGATTTTGGAAAACAAATCGGGGATCTCATTTGTGATCAAAAGGTTACATTCTCTTTTATTGGTTTGTCCACTTAAATCAGAACAGCTAATTGATATTTTTCTGTGGGGACCTTAAATGCTACCATTTTAAAAAATTATGTGCATATACTGTCTGTTACATGAAAAATTCAGTGTTTGTATTTAAATGTCATACTACCAAATGGGTAATGGTATTATTTTTCTTTCTTTGTGTTAATGCAGGCCTTTCCTAGAGCCAAAGAAACACCTAGGTAAGTATCAAGTTGTTTGCAGTAAACAAAACATGAAAATTATAATTAGAATATATATTTTTATCTTCAATTCTTTGAGGAGTTAGGGCACCTATAAACACATCTATTATAAATATTCTATTTGGCAGAAATGCCTAGATTGCGGTTTGACTTATTCACTTGGAAAACAGAATGGTTCCATAACCTTTGTGCCTTCTACCGAGAACCACTGACTGGGGAGAGAATTAATTCCAATATGGTCAATCCTCGTACAGTACTTGTCTTACCGTGAATCAAGTATTATCCCCATTATAGAGAAGGGAAAACTGATCCACAGAAAGGCCAAGTGACTTGCCTAAAACTCCATAGAGAATCACTGTCAGACCAGGGATTAACACTCATGAGTTCCTCTCTCCCAGTGCTTTGGTTAGACCACAACTCTCTGATTGCTTATTGGAGGCCCATGTATCATCTGTAGAAATGTCTTTTATGGATATAGTGGAGTATGCCAGTTCCAAGAATCAATGCAAGTGTGTTTGCATGTGTTGGGGAAGAGACTTCTTTAAGCAACAGCTGACTTGTCAGGAACAAGAATTTCATTCCAGTCTATTTAAAGCCAATACAGAGCCCCGTGTTTGCTGCTCCCCACTGTGAAGGGCTACCACAGGGCTTCCATCTTGCAGAGGTCATTGCTTAGGGATAAATTTCACTTTCTGAAAACAATGTCCTCCTACACACACAGTCTGATTTGCAGGGCAGTATAGACACACCTTTAGACATGTAAGATTTTGATGTAATAGAAATGGCAAAGATTCCATTAATGAACAAAATGATGCTAAGGTAAAAAGTAGGTTTCAGTATGCTTAAGAACTATGTAGAAATGTCCATAATTCCTATTCCAATAATATTTATGCACCTAACCGCAATATAGAAACAGGGTAGCAAGATTGCCAAAACAGACTGGATAGTTTAATAATGTTGAGACACAGCATCAATTTAGCTTTATTGTTATGACTTCTAGTAACAATGATGACAGGGATAGATAAAATGTTTACGTTTTTAATAAAAGATATTCTAAAGTAATATTGTATTAGTGTTGCTTTTTAGGCTATAAACCAGGGGTGGGCAAACTACGGCCCGCAGGCCACATCCGGCCCTCCAGCCAATTTAATCCGGCCCTCAAGCTTCTGCTGGGGAGCAGGGTCTGGGGCCGCTCCACATGCGTGTATTGCGGCTCCCGGAGTCGGCGACATGTGCCTCACTCCAGCTCCTACGTTTAGGGGCAGCCAGGGGGCTCCACGTGCTGCCCCTGCCCCAAGCGCCGCCCCCCCGCAGCTCCCAATGGCTGGGAACTGCAGCCAATGGGAGCTGCAGGGGCGGCGCCTGCAGACAGGGCAGTGTGCAGAGCTGCCTGGCTGCGCCTCCACGTAGGAGCCAGAGGGGTGATATGCCGCTGCTTCCAGGAGCTTCTTGAGGTAAGCGCTGCCCAGATCCTGCACTCCTGGGCCCCTGCCCCAGCCCTGATCCCCCTCCTGCCCTCTGAACCCCTCAATTCCAGCCCGGATCACCCTTCTGCATCTCAAATCCCTCAGCCCCACTCCAGAGCTCGCACCTCCTCCGGAGCTCTCATCTCTCCCTCCTTTCCCCCCGCCCCCAACTCCCTGTCCTAGCCTGGAGCCCCCTCCCACATCCTGAACTCCTCATTTCTGGATCCACCCCAGAGCCTGCACCTCCAGACAGAGGCCCCCCTGCCGCAGCCCTGATCCCCCTCCCACCCTCCAAACCCCTCTGTCCCAGCATGGAGCACCCTCCTACACCCCAAATCCCTCATCCCCAGCCCCACCCCAGACCCTGCACCTCTAGCCAGAGCCCCCGCACCCTGAACTCCTCATTTCTGGCCCCAACCCAGCACCCGTGCCCCCAGCCAGAGCCCTCACCCTCTCCTGCACCCCAACCCCAATTTCATGAGCATTCATGGCCCACCATACAATTTCCATACCCAGATGTGGCCCGCAGGCTAAAAAGTTTGCCCACCCCTGCTATAAACAGTAACAACAACAAATCTTTCTTATAAAAGCACAAGCTTTCTGAACACAACTTTCTGTAGATATTTGTGAAACTCAATTTAAATCCTGTTTAGCAAAACAGTATTAATTTATCTTTGTGGCATTTTAAACTTGTATATAATGTAAATGACACATAAAAAAACTGTAGATCCTATCTTCATTTTCAGGAGCTCATGTGACTGTTACAGATTCTACACGCACAGTTACACCACCAAGTGGAAGGTAAAATGTCTTTTTTCCTATTGGAAATATAGATACATATATGTAACAGTTGTGGGCTTTTTTTTCTGTCTGATGAATACAGCACTTTTAAAAAGGAGAGAGAGAGAGAAAAATGAGAATACTCTGCACACTTTTATGGTTTTCAGTGTCTAGTATGTATTTTTATATGGCATGTAACTTTCTTGAAACTTTTTTTCTCTCTGAATAAGCTTTGCTTACTTAAGATCAAAAATAGCATGTAGTCAAACTTCCTCTTACTCTTGGCTGGGCGTATATGTACAAGTTCTTCAGAACTCAATGGATATCAGTTTCACTTCAGCCTACATGAGTGATATCTAATAACATAATTCATATGTTATCATTCAGTAATGAGCTTGTCGCATGCAGCAGTATATCACAAGTATGTGCATCAAGCTTAATCCTTGCCACTGTCTCTTCCATTAAATGTCATACAATTTTACCATTTGGCAGTGTCTGGAACAAGTTAGAAATTCATGAATGTAAAATTTATGTTGCAAAATGCAAATTTTTATAGAATTATATACTTCTAAATACACATTTTACTAAAAATAGTGCAGTTCTGTAATACTAAATATGCCTTAAAGAAGGTGGGTAGGGAATGAATGATATTGAAAGCCACATATGATACTCCAGAATAGCTACTACATAGCACTGTGAATTTTTTCTCTTAACTTCTTTATATCACTTCCAAGTTGTTGTTAGAGTAATACAAGCACTTCAGAAACTTCCATAAGCATGTTGTTGATTCTTCTTTTTTAATTTTGTGGGTTTTTTCCATCAGTGGCCCTCCTGTCCAAGTAAAAACAGAGCCAAATGAGGATTCTGGTACGTAACTTTGTTTTGTACTTCTTTGCAAAACATTCTGAGGAAGCAGCTGTAATTTCAAGTGGTTGCATTTATATAGTGGTAGACAGTGCAAACAGAAATGCGCTAGAACAGCAGCAATTGACTGCAATAAATAAATATATTAACAAACTCCTTTCTTCATTTAACCAAACTATAGCCTACTAATGACTAAGTACTATAGGATTCAATTGGTCCAAAGTATCCATTTTGCGGACTGAGAAATAATGGCCTATACAGTTTTATAAAACGTCTAATATAATTGTACTAATGACAATGTTATAAGACCGTAAATAGATGGGAGGATTAGCCTACAACTTCTTCCCCATTTTTCTTTAGTTTTCTACATCCTTTGGGTGGAGGGAAGAATTAACTAGCCCTGTCAGCTATAATATTCAGTCCTAAAATATGGGCTTAATATTCTTTAATATTTATCCTAGATAGTGTAAATTCACAGATGCTGTGTAGATTAATGATTTTTAGCTCACTTAATACATACGAAGAGTCAATGTGCTTTCTTGTTTTTGTAAAGTAATCAGTCACAGAGAGACTGAAAAGAAGAGGAGTCTAATCTTTGCTGCAAATGTTGCTAGAACATTTGCAGCATTATTAATGCTATTCAGCAGACCCTTGGGGTGGTAATCTTCCTCTAGTCAAAATGTTTTGAAAACATTTTGGAATCCATTTGACGACATGCTTAGAGCATTGCTTAGCAGAATATAGACCAGTTCAAGGCCCTACAGTGCTGCTGCACACAGCAAAATGATTCAGTTCCAGAAGTCTCTAGATTTCAACTGAATTTACTTAAGTGAGCAAAAACTAGTTTGCAAGTGCCATGTGTGTAGGAGGGGATGCAAAACTTTTATGATTGGTGATTGTGTACAAGAAGGGAAGAACCCAGCTTGACTTTTTGGATCCAAGGTTGAGTTGCAGGACTAGCAGGTTAGAAAAAAGAAATAGGGTAAATTGAACCTACTTGGTAGGGAAGTTATTGAGATAAAAGAAACCTAGAACTCCACTATGCCATTTTTAAAATATAATAACTTAGCACATTACTTCAAACTGGTTGCTCCTCTTTATGCAATAAAGACAAGATAGGATTTTGTTTTTGAATCCCTTTATCATGTGTCTGCGTATGTGATTGGGTTACTTTTCGGTTGCTTCTGCAGGAATTTCACTAGAGATGGCAACAGTAACAGTAAAAGAGGAATCGGAGGATCCTGACTACTATCAGTATAATATTCCAGGTAATATTAGCTTGCATATATTTTGTCACATAAGATCTTATATCCAAGTGTGACAACTGCTGTTTTTTCCTGTCTTTAGACACATTGTAGTTGCGTAGCTAAACTACACTTCTTTGTTCTAATACAAAACCTCCATGCTGGTAGCCATTTAAGTAACTCTCAATGAAGCAAATAAGCATCCAGTTACTGCAACAGAATTGGCACTCCCCCACCCCTACGTGGGTAAATGACATTATAGATCACTGAAAGTAAGCTAGTATTAAATAACTACATTGAGCTGGTAGAACTGTGGAAGAACTCTACACTTTATTTTGTTTTGGTGATGGGCTTGCAAAATGTAACCCCAGTGACAACTTTTTGTCACCTTTTTACCAGGCATTGTGCTAAAGGCTGTCTGGCTCAACGCTTCATCTACCATAAAAATTTAATTGTCTAAAACTGGTTTAGTTTTTTGCATTGCAAAAGTGTCAGTAAATCTGACAGCATTTTTCATTGATTGCTGTTTGTAGTGATCCAATTTTGGTTTTGTTTTCCGAATTTTTTTTTACATTTTTCTGATTGTGAAAAAAATCCACAATGTGATGCAGCTGACCAATCAGGATTGGCAAGAACAAAAACAAATTAAAAAAACTCAAACAAAAAACATTTTTAGGCCTGGCATATAATTCAATTTTTATTTTTTATAATTTCAATATGTAATATTGATGTATGCAGTGTTATCTATGTCAGTCACAGGATATTAGAGAGATGAGGAGGATGAGGTAATATCTCTTATTTTACCAATTTCTGGTAAAAGTTAGCTTGAAAGATTTAAATTTTCAGTTGTGGGAAATTATGGAGGCTCAGATAGTAATTACTTAATGACAATAGATATTGAGATTCAAAAAGTTAAAGCTTTATAACCAATAAAACACAAATTATGAACATTGTATATCCAAAATATATAAGTAAATAACCTTAAATCAAACTCAAGTTCTCAAGCAGTATTTTTCTTTCTTTGCCTATCTGTAAACTTTGATTATCATTGATGGAAATATTTTTTCATTGGTTTGGGTGTGTACAGTGAAATCAATGTTTATTGACATTTACTGATAAAAAGAAATCTAATCATTCCAAGACTAAACATTTTGCAGAACAAAGTCATGCAAGCATAATTGTGTTAAAGTTTCTGTTAGATTTTTGAAAAAAGAGAGCTTCAAATATATCAAAGTTTTTGCTAAAACTTTTCAAATTTTGGAAAAGGGGGCTATTTTTTGAAGGGAGGAAAAAAATTGTTCAGGATATTTTGACCATGTATATAAAAGTCTAAGGATCTTTTTCAGCTATTTACAGCTTTGTCCAGTGTGTGCCTATGGGGCTTAAATTTTGCATATTAGTCTCGACCTGGGAACCATGATATTACTACTCATGCTCAGAATTTAGATTGTAAAATCTCTGGAGTAGGGACTGGCTTTGATATCTGTATACAGTGCCCAGCACCATGGAGCCAAGGACTCTAGGTGCTGCTATAAAACAAACAAGAGTCAGATCCAGATTTCGACAAAGTAGTAATCAGTTGTTATTTTTAGGACCAAATTGTGCCCTCTATATGATGTACAACTCTCGTTGGCTTCACTGGGAGATGCATGCATCTCTGGGGGGAAATTTAGACCGTAGTATGAAATGTAATCTGACTCTATTTTTAACAATCAGTATTGAAACGGACTTCATAACTACCCCAGTCTCCTTGCATACATAGCAACACATAGTGATGCAATGTGTTTGCATGAGTTAGGGAAATACCATATATTCAGTAACTCTCTGCTAGGGACTAAATAAAAGAACTAAAGCAACCACCCAAACAAAGCAAAATAAATTACCACATCTGACTTTTACTAACCTAACATCATATTTTCTCCACAAACACAATGTATTTAATTACACTGACTCAAGACCTCTTTATTTCTAACTTGGTGAGAATTCTTATCTCAGAATTCCACATGCACATAGACCTTTTCACAAAACATCGTAAAACTGTATCTCAAGTGTTATAAACACCTCTACCTCGATATAACACGACCCGATATAACACGAATTCGGCTATAACGCGGTAAAGCAGGGGGCGGGGCTGCACACTCCGGTGGATCAAAGCAAGTTCAATATAACGCGGTTTCACCTATAACACGGTAAGATTTTTTGGCTCCCGAGGACAGCGTTATATCGAGGTAGAGGTGTAATTCTGTACATCTTGAGCTGATTTTGCCAAATGTTTTGAAACATATTTATGACAAAATTACACACCGACTTCCTATTGGAGGACTCCGTACAGAACCCAGACCATCTCAGGAAATGAAGATAAGATTTTCATGGGAAAGATGAGGGTGAAGTACCTTTTAGTGCCAGAACCAGATACCAGCACTGTAACAAGTAACAAGATGGAATTTATTTCTGTACATGAAAATTCATTCATTTTTACAAAAAACGGAGAACAAAAATATAGTGACAAAAATCCTAAGTGACATGCACAATCAGCAATCCTATTTCTCATCAACACTGAATGAAATGAGACCTATTCAAGATGTATCATCTGTAGAACTAAACACTTTACTAGCATACTACTTTCTTCGTATGAAAATAATTAATTGTGACTATGAATTCCTCACTCTGTGATCAGTATTCCAATGTACTGAAGGTCGGGGGAGGGATAGCTCAGTGGTTTGAGCATTGGCCTGCTAAACCCAGGGTTGTGAGTTCAATCCTTGAG